ATCAGTAGAAATACATATAACGCGCTCACCAAAACTCCAATAGAGTTCGTGCAAATCGACAAGTTACAACTACGACGGTGAAGACGATGATCCCAGCGCAATCCGAGTGGCCTATCATCCTGCCATTCTTCCACAGCAACACAAAGAGAAAACATCAGAAAATGTGAACCTTACGTACATACATATCTACCTACACATAGGTACGTTAGAGAGCTTGACTGCCGACTTGCTTCAACCGGCTGTCTGTTTGGCTGTCTGACTGTTTGGCTGCCAAGGCAAGCGTCGCAAGCAAAATGTTGATACTGACGCAGATGCTGTTATTGATGCTATAACAACCATCATGCATAGTTGGTAGCACTCGGTGGCTGCTGGCGAGGACACTGATGGCCGTGGCGGCGGCGTTGGTGGTGTTGGCTGCTTTGTTGGTAGTTGCAGTGGATTCCACTCCACTGCTATTATAACAACGTGACAAACGCTGCTACCCTACAAAATTGAATAGCATCGAAGTAGGTAGTATGCCGGGCTAGAGACATTGGTGGAGCAACCTATTAACTAAACCTTATGGGCAAAAGGCTAAGGAAACAATGCACTCAAAAGCAGGAGCAAATCAAAATGAAGCAGACCGGCTTGTAGGTGCAAACGTATACACCCACTCGGATATTGCTGAATTTTACTTTCGATACATGATGCTGCATATTTGCTTCTTCGTTGCCCGCAGAGTATATCAACTAAATCAACGAAACAAGCTAAAATGATGTTTTGCATGCGACTGACTGACGGCTGCTACGTCTTTTGATATTTCAAATTTTATAAGTTTACGCAGCCCGTTCGGCTGTGGAAGAATAGATGGCTGCTGTGAGAGCCGTAAGCGTGAAGGATGATAAAATTGTTGCGCAAGTTTTGGGGTGGCGTATGGAAATAACAACGTTCATACTGACAGCTATAAGTATGTATGTGCCTGTAAGTTTATGCCACCACCGAAAGTAGACACCAACAACTACAGCACCATTTGCAGTCTGCCCTCTTCATTATTGATCGCACCAATTCAGCTTTTCCCGCACTGCCGTGCAAGTTGCGAGCCGTTTTTGTGACAATGCGTCGATGCAAAACAATGCGTTTATATTTTATAAGCGGGGAGCTGTGTATGGAATAAGCATTTTCATATGTATACCACTCTGCCAATCTTCCTCCTGCTACTTTTAGACAAACATAAAGATGTAGTATAGTATTCTCAGTCGATTGCAAAGGCAGGGATGTTTAGTTTTTGTATTATTTTGTCAGATATGGTAGATTTTTCTACTGAGTGATTTTTTTGAGGTTAGGATTTTCATGCATTAGTATTTGACAGATCACGTGGGATTTCAGACATGGTGTCAAAGAGAAAGATGCTCAGTATGCTTTGACATTTCATCATGAATAGACTTACTAACGAGCAACGCTTGCAAATCATTGAATTTTATTACCAAAATCAGTTGGCAGAAAATCCGCTTTTTTATCGACAAATTTTGTTCAGCGATGAGGCTCATTTCTGGTTGAATGGCTTCGTAAATAAGCAAAATTGCCGCATTTGGAGTGAAGAGCAACCAGAAGCCGTTCAAGAACTGCCCATGCATCCCGAAAAATGCACTGTTTGGTGTGGTTTGTACGCTGGTGGAATCATTGGACCGTATTTTTTCAAAGATGCTGTTGGACGCAACGTTACGGTGAATGGCGATCGCTATCGTTCGATGCTAACAAACTTTTTGTTGCCAAAAATGGAAGAACTGAACTTGGTTGACATGTGGTTTCAACAAGATGGCGCTACATGCCACACAGCTCGCGATTCTATGGCCATTTTGAGGGAAAACTTCGGAGAACAATTCATCTCAAGAAATGGACCGGTAAGTTGGCCACCAAGATCATGCGATTTGACGCCTTTAGACTATTTTTTGTGGGGCTACGTCAAGTCTAAAGTCTACAGAAATAAGCCAGCAACTATTCCAGCTTTGGAAGACAACATTTCCGAAGAAATTCGGGCTATTCCGGCCGAAATGCTCGAAAAAGTTGCCCAAAATTGGACTTTCCGAATGGACCACCTAAGACGCAGCCGCGGTCAACATTTAAATGAAATTATCTTCAAAAAGTAAATGTCATGGACCAATCTAACGTTTCAAATAAAGAACCGATGAGATTTTGCAAATTTTATGCGTTTTTTTTAAAAAAAAAGGTATCAAGCTCTTAAAAAATCACCCGTTATTTTCTTTTACGAATCCTTTATATTTTATTTTTGTTTGCAAGTTAAATTTGAAATTTCTTTAGTATGTCTATATTTTTCAGTGTTGTCTTCGGTTCTCCCTTTTTGCATAATTGGATTATTTACATAAACTGCTGTTGGCTATTGTGCGCAGATGCCTACAAATAAGTTTGTATGTACACACTTGTTTTTTGTGGTCTTTTTTTTTGGGTTTCGTTCGATTGAAGATTTACCACAACACAATGAGGAGAACCGTCGCTTAGGATGATGGCAAGCGCAAAGGGAATAGCATTTACTGTCGATTATTCACGGTTGTCAGTTTCAGTTGAGTATTTTTCGTGGAAGTTCATTACTACGCATTATACAAAGGAGTTTTTGGTTTATAAATGGAAATAGTTGACATATTGCCCTCGAAATGTTCAGATGTGTGTACATACTTTTTTTTGTTGCCTTTGTATTATAACATTAACACAATTTATTTCGAAATTGATTTCTTTTTGAATTGAATTTTGAAAAAGATAATCACTCTAGCAGTACTTCTATCTTTTCCTTGTATATACAGTATCGGTCATATCTATAGCACGCCATTTCAAAGTGATATTGTGTGCAACTTATGTTTATTTATTTTTAAGAATTTCCAATTAAAATACAGTTCTTTCTCTAACAAACCCCATATAAACCCAAGTTTAACAATTGGTAGAAAACTTCAAAAAAGTGCAACAAATTTTCACCTAAGTTTCAAACTTTTTTCTCGGAAGTGTTAGAATTTTTTTGAGTACACAGTTTTTTAGCCCCTGCAATTTTAGTCTGATAATGTGCAAATTTCAATTGGCTACGAATTGCCGTTAATTTTTTAGAATTTTTTTTTGTCGCATTGGCTTCCATATAATGAATAAACTCAATTTATTTGTATATGGATGAAAACCGCAACACCTTTGGCGAAAAAAATTCTAAAAAATCAACGGTAACTTTTAGCCACTTGAAACTTGTACATTATCAGACTAAAATTGAAGGGGCTAAAAAACTGTGTACTCAAAAAAATTCTAACACTTCCGAGAAAAAAGTTTGAAACTTAGGTGAAAATTTGTTGCACTTTTTTGAAGTTTTCTACAAATTGTTAAACTTGGGTTTATATGGGGTTTGTTAGATAAAGAACTGTATTTTAATTGAAAATTCTCAAAAATAAACAAATAAACATAAGTTGCACACAATATCGCTTCGAAATGGCATGCTATAGATATGACCGATACTGTATATCTTCTACATGAATCACTTTACGTGTCTACAAACCTGACAGCCCACTTCGGCAATAGGCCAGTATTCCCGCTAGAAGCTTTTATGTTCCGCTCATTAAACGAAGGCCATAATAATCGCTAGTCTCTAAAGTGGATCTTGTAAGCTGCTCGCGGCTCCCCAAGTCTTAGAATATGTATATCCTTTTCTAACGCGATCGTACGCTTTAGCATTTTCCGAGACCCCACTTTGCTGTGGAAAAAAGCTAAGTCCGAATTTGAATGCTCTCATCCCTTACGATTGTTCTATATCGAAAAATATATCCCTGTTTTTTATTTCGAAATCGCTTTAAGCGCTCAAAGTTTTCCATGTATGTATGCACTTATGTATATATGTATGTATTTTATATGGGAAAAATTTCGTAAAAATGGTTTATAATCCTTGAAAATCGATATTTTCGGTCGAAAAACTCGGTTTCCCTTAAGGAGACGTAACGATTTTTATGGGTACTCCATTGCATTTTATAGCGTTTTTGGGGACCCATAAAAAAATCCGATCGAAAAATATCGATTTTCAAGAATGCCTTACCTTACCTACGCAAAATTTTTTTTTTTTCATATAAAATACATGGAAGACTTTAAGCGCTTTGAGCGACCGCTAAATATTTTTGTATTCCAAAATAAAAAAAGCAGGGGTATGTTTCTTCGGTATAGAATAATCTAATATTTTTATGATGACTTAATAAAGCGAAAATTAAGTTTTATCAATTGTTGTAATTAGATTTTATTACAAAAAAGTGTATCTAATACAAATGACTGGACAATACAGGTTCGGTTAGATTTCGCTTGTTGTTGCTGTAACAGCATTAAAATTCCCCAAATAGTTTTAGTTTATGGCCAGATATACTAGATATGGGTCATTCCGGTCTCCGGTGATATCGTTTCAAGAATACCTTTCCTTGCCAGGTAGTCTGCCATACAGTTTCTCGCGATTTCGCTGTGGTCTGGAACCCAGATCACGCAATTGGGAAGAAGGTAAGACATGCCCTGTGCAACCCTTCGTTGCGTTACGGCCCTGATAGCAGCTTGACTAACAGAATTTACTTATGCTTACGTCCCCAATTGACGCTGCCCTCAAGTTTCGATCCAACCGTGCTACAGTTCTAAATCATACCTTTTATCTGGATAGAGAAAAAAACACAAGGAGCAATTCCGGTGGTTCCATATAGAGTAATTTCCCTCTTTACTTTTTTATCTTTTTCGAAGAACCGTTTTTTTCTATTTTCCGCAATATACTTCCTTTCAATCTTGACGAAAAAAGTATTATTGTGGGTACTTCATGCATATCTAAAAATTACAACATTCACATAAAGCTTTTATTGTAATTTTAAAAATGTAAAATATGTCGATTATCTTGGTCGTAAATTATATTTAAGCAGAATGTCTTATACATTTAATTTTATTATGTATTTACATATTACTTTGTAGATTAAATCAAACTTTATAACCTTTAATTTTTCCGTACCCTTTTCCAGGAATATTGTCTCCTCCGGGTCCGTTTCTAACGCCCAGTCCGTCGCCATCAATATCAGCTAGTCCGCGTTTGCAACCGTCACCTTCATTGTCACCATTTCCGCAGGATGTTCTACTCGTAGCGGGTAATACAATCACAAACGCCACACACGATCAGGTACATATCTGCAAATGATATCCCTTGAGTATCAAAAAAAAAAAAAAAAAAACAACATTAAAATACAAACATAGTGCTAAACATAAAATAGAAGCGTTCTGTTAATTTTTTATAAATTTTTTACTTGAAGGAACGTAAAGCTACCACACCGGGACGAAGACAATCGTTACATCAATTCACTAATGGCAGTCCCAACGCCGGTACTGTTGTATTCCAGCCAAGTCCATCGCAGTCACCAGCGGCAGCGACCAGTGTTATCGGTGTGACAGCCGGTGTTGGCGGTGCGGCGATAGCAACAACAACACCTACAGCCGGCAATGAATTCAACACAACACTTGTTGGATCTAATAATATACAATTAAATAAGGTAAGCCAAAAGTATTAGTAAACGAAGTTCAAATTGTAAAAACAAAAATGAATTGCATATTATTATTATAAATGCAAAATTCCCTGTTCGGTTTTTTTTTTTTTTAATATGAATGTACAAATTTTGTCGAGCATGCATTATATAGAAGAAAATACGAAGCACCGTAAAATAATTTCAAAACTCAATGCTATTTTGTAGCACTTGCACTTTATTATACTAAATTTTAATGGGCTACAAAACTACATACCTGAAAATTTTCTAAAAATATTATTAACTGATGCACTGTATTTCATTAGGATAGCACACCCTTTTGTTGACATGTGTTTTAAATTTGTATAACATTTTAAAATCGGATTCACACGTAGAGTATGCTTAACTTTTATCAAAAATTAATTAATACTAAACAAACAAAAGGACCAAATGTGTCTGCTAATCTAATGACTAGGATATCCTTTAATCTCAGAGATTTACTCCAAATCAAATTGATTAAATGGGTCTTTTGCATTTAGGTAAAATAGCAATATAGTGCCGACAAATTAGACACAAATATAAATACACACAGTTTACAATTATTCACATAAGCAAATTAAATATCAGAAGGCCTCACCAACTTCTTGTATTTTTATCTCCCTTTTATTAGCTCGGGATGTAGCTATGTAATATTGATGGGCAGAGGTGCAGAGATTTCTATTCTCAAGTTACATACCTGAGGGTCAATTCCCGTTCTGCGTTATCGTGAAGTGATAAAAATAACGCCTTTACACCGCATTTATTTTGGGTGTTAATTTTATACTTTTCACTTCACGATAACGCAGAACGGGAATTGACCCTCTGATGACAGTACGAATGGAAATTATAATAGCGAGGTTTTAGTTTTTTAAACTATAATTTTATTCTCTTAAGCGATAAGTGTTCTCATGAGAATAGATTGACAAAGTTGTAGATCAGTGATGTCGTCCATTGACCAATATCTTTCAGCCGGATAGCTCCGCAACTCTACTTCGGTTAGATGTAATACATACATGTAGCGTATCGATGGCTGAGTGGAAGATCGACCTACCTCGGCAGCCAGTTCGAAAACGCTCTATCTCAAAAAACTTTTCAAGAGCGCCCTATTTCAGAATTTAATTGAAAAATACCCTATATCAAAATTCGGTTCAAAAATTGCCCTATCTCACTTCAAAATGTATTGAAAATATGCTCATATAGGGCGTTTTTGAAACGAATTCTGAAATAGGGCATTCTTGAAAAGTTTTTTGAGATAGAGCGTTTTCGAACTGGCTGCCGAGATAGGTCGATCTTCCACTCAGCCATCGGTATGCAGTCACCCTTAGAACCTATTCAGGCCTTAGGTCTCATAGGGAGTGGACCACAAGCTTTGTGGTCCCCTGTAAATCAAGCCATATGACATCGCCCGCGTCCAAGGCCACTAGCTCACCACAGCAACAGTCAAACTCCGCACGCACCCGTCCCCCACCACTTTACCACCCGCTTCAATTCGCGTTTGAAGTCTAACCAGAAGCTCTTGGTTGCCCACACAGTTTGCTCCGTGTATCAAAACAGAGCATACCGGAATGTGGCATCAGTCAAATATAACTTATGGTGGTGCCACTTCCGCAGATTACCGCGCCCCCTGTTGCAGAGCAACACAGCCGCAGACATAAACGCAAGTATTGTAGCCATCCACCAACTGGCAGCAACAAACACTGTGGTAAGCGCAACAATACCAAGGTAGACCACTCCACACTTCTCTCACTCCGCACATCGCGAGCAGCCTTCTAAGGCATACGAAACTTCTACAACTAAACAGCAACGGACTTCAGAGCAAGATCGAAGAGATAACTGTCTTTATGAGTCGGTACGTAATATTTATAGTTGCAATCCAAAAAACTGAACATTGTTGAATTTTCTAATCCGATTTCGTAACAAAATTGTGAGTACCCTGGTTTGTAGTCTATTAAATTGTAGTGTAATAAAATGCAAGTTTCAAGTTACTGAAAAATTGCGTTGATTTTTTGAATGTTGTCGAGCGTACCTTAATAAAAAAAAAACTGTGTGACACTGTCGACAAAAAGAATGGCCAAAAATCAACGCGATTTTTCAGTAACTTAAAACTTGCACTTTATTATTCTAAAATTTAATGGGCTACAAAACGTCGTACTAACAATTTTTCTACATGGGAATTATATATGTAATTGCATACGGGGCGGAAATTTTTTTTGATCGAGTGTTATCTACTGCAAAGAAAATAAATGTCCTTTACTCCTGAAATTGTGTGAACTTGCGGCTAATTTTTACGGCATAATTTAACTAAGTGCGTTCACTTTCTAGTCTAGAGTAAAACACAAAAGTATTTACAAATAATAAATATTAAGTATAATAAATAAGTATTTACAAGTAATAAATATTTAACTAAATTTTGTTAAAAGGCAATGAGTCTTACCAGATTGATTAGCATCCACCACTAGTATTATAAATTTTAACTTATAACGGCCAGGCGATGTTGAGCATGAAATATTTAACATATAAATATATAACCCGTGTCACAATGCAAAGCACAACAACAGCACATAACGCCATAAACACTCGAATAACTGGTGGCCTTAACCGCAACCACCCCTGTCAGAGAACAGTCCTAATAGCGTTGAATCTGTCAAAGGCTTTTGACACCGTTTTTCGTTCCACGCTACTAGGACGGTGGTCGAGGAATTATTTGAATGGTTAGCAGTCGTCAGTAATATTTTAAGATCAAATCTCAAAACCTAGAAGTATTAAACAAGGGGTTTGCGAAGGGTGGTCTCCTCTACCCCTACTGTTTAACTTCAATATCTCGAAGTTCCCTCTGCCACCGGAGGGAATTTAATTTCTGTAATCTCATACGCTGACGACTGTTCGATATCGGTGTCTGGGAATGGAATTGATGAGCTCTGCACAAAAGTAAACTTTCACGCTTCTTCACAGCAAGGAGCCTAACCTTCTTCCCAGCGAAATCAACGGTGACAGTCTTCACCACCTGGACAAAGGAGGTCAGGTTTGAACTAGACATTCATGTCGATGGCACACCATTTGCGATGGTGAACAACCCGAAAATTTTGTGGTTACCTTTGATAGCCCGCTTTTCTTCTCCGTGCACACAACCGCGATTGTCAATAAAGTACAGAGCTGCAACAAGGCCCTCAAGTCGCTCGCTGGCAGCACCTGGCAATTGCCAGGCCGGTTATGGACCGTGCTGCGTCTGTTTAGTCGCCGGGACGAAGCTACAAACTTGTCACCTGTCCAGACTCGACCCTGAGATCCACAGTGAGTGTCCGGGGATGTGAAGGCTCCCCCCACTGCACCAAACACCTCTACATACATACTTTGTGTCAAGCTTATTTCACTAAAGGTACGCACAAGCCGGTACAGAAACACACCTGACATACTACATACAGTCAGTCAATAAAGTTTAGGTGCAGCGAATTTTTTACGATACGGGCAACTATTTTTTAAATATTTTGTTTTTCGCTAATTTATATAAAATTATATAATAAAGTGCAAGTATGAGGAAGCTAGGACTTACCATTTATTTTTGGGATATTTTTTTTTTGTTGAAGGTGTCGCACATTAATTCCATATAAAAAATTATCAAACATTATTTTATATGGAGAAAATGAGCGACAAATTCAACAAAAAATAAAATTGCTAAATATCGATGGTAAGTCCTAGCTACCTCAATCTTGCACTTTGTTACACTTAAATTGAATGGGTTAAAAAACTGCATATTCAACTTTTTTCTAGAGAGCGTGAATAAAAAGTGCAATATTTGAATGAAATTTTGCTGAATTTTCTTTAATTTTGCACAAGGTTTGGAACTCTGATTTTTGGAATTTTTGTTGTGGAATTAACCATATTTTTATAAAAAAAATTATCGAAAAAAAATATTAAAAAATAGCTGCCCGTATTGTAAAAAATTCGTTGTACCTAAACTTTATTGACTGACTGTATGTAACATGTAACATATCATCGCCTGGGTAAAAGATTGTCGTAAGCGCAATTTTGACGAGTTTTAGTTCTAGATGCAGTTATATATTTTGAAATAAGGTCTTTCGATTGGTGTTATCAGCTTTCAGATATCTCCTTTAGTTTCCGAGATATTGATTACAATTTTTTCTATAATTTAGTAAAAATTTAGTTAGTGATGCAGCCATATTAAACTAATCAATATCTTAAAAATGGCGTTCTCCATTAGTTCCGAGATATTGAGTAAAAAGTGTCGTTAATTTAGTAGAAATTTTGATCACATTTTGTCGTATTTCATACAAAGAGGCTGCCAAATTGTGGACAAATGACGCTTACGACAAAATTTTACTAAACATTTAAACATTAAAAATTAAATAATTTAAGAATTTTGTGAACTAGTAACATTTTCAGAGACTTTGGAGAATATCTATCTTCGCGTTTCTGAGAAATTGCATTCCAGACTTCAATCGCGATTTCCCACAACCTGCCGAAATCAACATACGACAATCTTTTACCCAGGCGACGATATGTATTAGAGACAGGTATACAGATCCCTACTCCACGAACTAAAATAAAGTTTACGTGTCTCTCCGTTTTTTTTTTTTGTATTTGCTTCGTCCCTACAGTGTTATAAACAGGGAACGGATTTTTAGGACCTAAAAACCTATAAAAAAAGGCAAAATAAAACAACGAAATAGGCTGGAAAAGGCAAAATAAAATAGCGAAAAAGGCACAAGGTGTTGCAAAAAAGGCAACACAAAATAGCGAAAGAGGCAGGAAAATCCACTAGGTATTGCAAAAAAAAGCAAAATAAGCCACTAATAAGACAGAAAATACGAAGAACAACCAAAAAGTACATTTATTTTAGAAATGTTTATATTACAAGTAAAAAGAGAAAAACTATGAACTAGTTTCATTATATGAAAAAATTGTACTTTGAATCTTTGACTATTTTATCCTTTCGGGTTTCTAACTCATAAAACTTTAATCTGTATAGTTGTAGTAACATTGAACCACAAGATGCATTTTGAAGTTTTCTGGCAGCATTTTCATTCGATTTTCGCAAAAAAAAAGCCTTGAATGTACTAAATGTACGCCCGACGTAATTTGATACAAGTGGAGCCCAATTTAAATATGGAACGTTTGAAACGTTCATATTATCAGGAATAAGGGCGTTTTCCTCGCCCTTCATAATTTTATCCACACCCCTTATTGTCTCCAAGCCTTCGTTAGCTGAGAAAACACTTTAAATATTTCATTTGTAATACATATATGTAAGATCCATGTGAACTATTGTAAATTGAATTGCTATTTTCACTATTTTATTACATTTGTATGTATGCACATTTACTTTAATTTCTGTTATCTATAAATAATCATTTAAAATAATCCTCGCAACACATTTTGCAGAATACACTAATCGTGATCGTTTTACATATTGTTTCTTGCAGAAGGGCAATAAGCGCAACAGTCAGCAGCAGCATCAACAGAATCAACTTACTCAGCAGCATCACCAAATATTCAGCAGTGCTGTAACACCAACTTGTCACACTGCGCCCTCGATCTCGAATACTGTAGCCGGCGGCTATGGGCAACCACATGCAGCAGCGATTAATACGTCGAGTTCGTTTGCGTCAGCAAATGTGGCTGGTTGCCCAAAAGGTCAAGCGAAAAAAGCCGCCGCAACAGTTCTACCGACGTCGACGTCGTTGAGTCATCAGCATCAGCAACAGCAACAGTTCCAACACTATCATAGCAATAGTCCGCTGATAGCTGACAGTCCAATACCGAGTCCTAGCAATACAATTACCGCCGCCGCAATTAAACCGTCAACACCACAACCAATGCAAATGTTGCAGCAACAATTCACGATTACAGGCAGTGCGCCGCACCAAGGGAATCAACCGCAGCACACGCAGCAGGTCTTTCAAATCATCCAGGGGCCACAGGGACAAATTGTTGCGGCGCCGGCTGGGCAGCAGCATTCTTTGCAGCAACGATTGATAGGCAGCACCGCAACAGTTCAAGCACATCTGGCGCCAACGTCGTACAGTAGTTTTAACAGTACAACAACGAATACGGTAACAAAATCAACTAAACCGCCGCAACAAATACTGCCAAAGCCACAGCAACAGTCTTGTAACGATGCCAGTCAACAGCAACAATCGCAGCAACACCAACAGCAAAAGGGTAAGGTCGTTGGTGGCAATGCGACGACCGCCACTTTGCACAGCAATCCCAACAACATGGCTCAAATGCCACAGATCTCGCAGTCACCGCAACCGCAACAGGCACAGATCAGTGTTTCGGCTTCGCCCACCTCAGGTGGCGGCGCACAGCAACAGCAAATTCTTCTGCCAACAGGTGCCACAGCCAGCCTTACACAACAACCATTGTTGCTCAATCAAATGCCAGTGCTGGTACAGCAAAATACACCGCAAGGTGTACAGCTTATACTACGACCGCCAACACCGCAGCTGACGGCCACACCTTCCCTGGTTATTCAAAATGCGCGACCGCAAGCGCAGCTGCAACAGCAACAACCACAGCAGTTGCTGCGTATTCTGGGTACAAATGGTGCAACGATGCAATTGGCCGCCGCCACTCCCACCTTCATAGTGTCCTCACAGGCCAACCTCATACAACAGACTGCAAATCATATACAAACGATTAAAACGAATGCCCAAAATCAGGCCATAACTCAGCTGACTGGCTTACATGCAGCACTTTCGGCAACAAATCCCCAACGATCTCACCAGCCGTTCACCACAACGGCGACCATCAACACCAGCCACTTGCTAGGTCCAAGTATGGCCGCACAATTACAGAATCTACAATTGGCAGCCGCAGCAGCAAACGGTGGTAGCATTACACAAATTCAAATGCCTAATGGATCATCGCCTGCCACCACAACAATATTGTCACAGTTACCGGCGCAGTTCCAGCAAAGTTTGAACAATGCTGCAGCCGGAGGCGGTTCACTCATCAACTTAAATCAGTTGAGCGGTGCGAATATTCAACAATTGGCGGCGGCGGCAGCGGCTGCGGGCGCGACTTTCCAAACTCCACCACCACCGTCCACAAGTTCCAATGCCGGTATGGATATGTATAATGCGCAACACACAACACTGCCCAGCTTGACACACACGTCACAGGCATCGGAGCCAATGCGTCAGCCTACACCTACATTGTTACAGAGTGCCAGCGGGACCACTGTAACTATGAATCAACAACTAACAAATGGGCACCAAGCAACGCCCTTAATGAGCGCTAGCATTGCTAACAATGGGCCTCCAAATTCCACAATGCAAATTCAACAGCAGCAGCAGCAACAACAACAACAACAGCAACAACAACAGCAGGTCTTACAGCCGCAAAATGAACCAAAAAAGAAGGCAAAGCCGCGGAAGAAAAAACAGCCCACTGCCAGCGCTACAGCAGCAGCCGCGCCTGCAGTGCAGTCACCTGCAATAACGACAACAGCGCCTTCACCTTCGCCTACGTCGCAAGCCAAAAATGTCGCAAATGCTGTATCGTCAACAGGTTCTAATTCAGTAAACAACAAATTCAATACACCCGCCGGTATATGCAATAGCACGAATGTTATCCCACAGCTCCAATTCTCACAATCCTCGCCGCAAAATGTGAAATTGACTTTCACCACTAACCATGGCAATAGCGGACAGGGCCAAGCGAATTCATCTCAACAACAGCAGGATCAAGCGCGACCAAAACTTGATCTCGGCAACGTTATGAAGCTTTGTGGTATCATGGAGGATGATGACGACGATGAAGATTACATGGATGCAATGTCCACGCATGATGAAAGCGCGTCTACCACAGCTTCTGCAGCACCACAGCCGCCGCCACAGCCCTTGCAGTCAGCGCCAACGCCATCAATTACTTCTACAACTGCTCCGGCACCACCAAACGCTAACGATATAATGATCTCGATACCCAGTCAAAATGGCGCCGATTCATTGCCTTTCACCGTAACAATACCTGCGGCGGCAGCGTTGAACACTGCGGCAACGTCCAGCAACGGCGCCAACGATACGACTGAGCCTCACAATATCTATATCAAAATTGACCAAACTGACGCCGCCTCCGCACCGTACACGATCTCGATACCGCGCTTGCCAACTGCTGAGGAAATACAACAGCAAGCGCAACAGCATCTAGCGCAGCAAGCTGCAGCAGCAGCGGCGGCAGCTGCCGCTGCGCAACAACAACAATCCAACAATAAGACTGTATCGTCAACAATGAGCTTCAGTATGTCAGCCGGGAATAATTCGCAACTACACACTGTTCAACAACCACAATTGCAGCCTCCGCTCTTTAATATAGCGACTAGTGGCGCCTCGCTGCAAATATCCACTTCCAGTAGTAATCCCACAATATCCATTCCCACACCTGCAATCACAACAACGACAACCACAACCACAACAGCAGCAGTGAAACCACGACGTAAACCAGCAGTGCGTCGCAATGGCAAAAAGCAGGATAACGTAACTACTTCAAGTTCGCCTGCCAGTACAACAAGCAGCGCAGCACCAACCTCAATTACTACAACTACAACTACCACCAACAGCGTTTCGGTGATGCCCTCTTTAACAGCCACAATTACACCAGCCACGCCAACGCCAACCGCCGGTACAGCGGGTAGGACTTCGGCAACACCACCGGCTCAAAATCAGCTGCAGAGCGCTTCAGCCGCAAGTCACATTACGGCGGCGACACTGCCGTCAGCATCAACTGCACCTACATTGACTACGACGATGTCAGGTGCACCGCAGGTTCCTAGCCAAATTGGTAATATACAAATATCGCAGGTTGATGGCACGAAAATGTTACCAAATCACAATGGAGGTGGTGCAGTAGAGAATAAAATACAGATTATGCCAATTTTGGACAGCACAGCTACTGCGGTTGGAGGAGGTGAGTTTATTGCTTATTTGTTTGCTTGTATGTCGATGAATTCAGCTGGAAAGAAAAGTTTTGTTGGGAGTTTACAGCACAGCCTTAGCTTTCAGCTTCTAGATGGCTAGGCAGTTAAGGCTGGAATGCCTGAAGAACGCTTTTGAATTATTTTTTTGAAAGATGAAAGGCTTGATGTCGCCAACACGATCGGATTCAGTTTTAATGGAACTTGTGGAGATCGCTGTTATTGGTAATTGCTGTTAGATAACGATTAGATTAAGATTTACAATACATAATTTCGCTAGAAATAGATAAGACCGCTTTTACACAGTTCAAGTATTGAATTCAATTTTGATCGCATATAGTGATAGAACTATTTAGAAAAGTATCGATACTAGTACTCATATAGAATACTCTAAAAAAGAATCGATGCCAGTACTCATACTTGCAAAAAAGTATCGATAATACTCGTACTTGCAAGTATTCTCAAAGCAAACGCAAAAAGGAAAAAAAATCAGATTGCTTTGCTTTTTTACCCCGTCCTATTTATAAATTGAATACTGACTGTTAATAGTTTTAATCTAATCTAAAGGAGTTTTTGGCAAGGACGTGAACCGGATGAAAAATTTGGTCGGTACGGTTCAGTGGTTAGAACCGTTTTTGCACTTTTGGATTGGTTCATCAAAGCGGGTTTTTTGGCCTTTGAACCGGTTCGGTTCAACGGTTCGAAAAACAAAAAATAACGCGCAAGTTTAAGTGTCAAGTGTCAAGTGCAACAACGCGCAAGGTTAAGGGTCAATTGTCTGTCAAATGAGATGGGTTGCCTTTACATTTGATACTGTCACATGGTAAACAAACATGGTAGGTATTACCATGTTTAACAAAAAGAAAAGAGTGGGTACATTTATGTATCGAAAATTGGTTGAAACGAACCTTTAAACATATATGTAATACTCCTATATTGGCAGTAAGTAAGTACAAAAACGGCACTCAAGTACACAATGCAAAACAGTACTAGACTGTCTCGCTTTGATTTCGGAATGCTTACCCATTGAGATGTTAGCTTACTACCAATATAGAAGTATTACATATATGCCTTTAAACCTTTATAGAAAGTGGTTAGGTTTTCGGTTCGGATCAAACATTTGTGGAAAATTTCGGTTCGGTTAATGGTTCAGTTAATTAAAAGAAAAAGCGGTTTTCCGGTTCAGTTTGAATCCGGTTCACGTCCCTGGTTTTTGGAATAAACTTCCAATAAGATTAGTTTTACATGCGTAAATTAAATGTGTATAGCAAACAGCTTATTTCAAGTTTTTAAAAGCAAATATTTTATGACTGTTTAACGCGTATATGTATTTATAAATAACTTTACTTTGAAAATGAAATGTAAATGTAAAAGACGAGAAGCAAACGGGTTGAAGCCCATTCTCTATAGGAAAGATAAGCTCTCTTTCGTAAAAATTTTCTTCAAGAATGGGCTAGATTTCGAATTCACAACGAAGGTAGAATACATAGGTTAGCGACGGCTGCCTTATGCTAGAGAGTGGCCAAGTTCTCGAGTCGGAAGACCACCCTCTTCCACCATTCATTATCAAAGGTGAGGCAAAATATTAGTTTTTCAATTATTTAAATATTTTTAACCGAAGCCAATGTTGAAATGACCGCTACATTTTCTTCTAGGTTGTGTAAAAATTTCATAACTAAGTCAATTACCAGTATCACTAGAACAAAATATGTATTAATTATTAGTATGGAGTATACATATCGTCGCCCGTGTGCCATAAACATGAATGTTTAGAAATGAAAATTTTGGGAAATCAAGTTTGAAAGTTTTTTTTAGAGACTTAACTCTACATTTATGCAATTAAAATTATAAAATAGTATCTACCCCTTTGCGCAAAATTGTCGTATGTTACATTTTTTACGAAATTGACTTTTTGATGCAACTTTGTTTTACAACCCATAACGCATCACCTGTTCAAATATTATGGCTTAAATCCCAATAGCTACCCCTAAAATTGACTGTAAATTTTATAGTATGTGACAATGATTTTTTTCTCGTGGGCGGAATTATCATATCTGCTAAGAAATTTGAATGTAGAGACCTTTCTACGAAAAATCTTGCGTTTAGCTATATTTCTCAATTATCTCAACAAATCTAAATTTTGGTATTGATGGTGCTAGCCAAAGCAGAGAAAAATACAAAAAATACATTCCTGTAAAATTTAGTTTTTGTAACGAAATACGAAATACGATAACATAGAACATCCAATGTTAACCAAGTCAACCTAATAACTCAAAGCTGATAAATTTGCACATTCATGCTTCTGGCATGAGGGTGACGATATGTGAAGTTAAAACTTTAAAGGCGTTTTTCTCGGGGTTTCGGTTTTTTGAGTTATGACAGTATTGAAGTAAATGAGCTTTATGTTCATTTTCATAACATTCATATTGGATATTAAAGTTAATATTCGAACGTTCGCCACAATATTTATTGGGTAATTAAAAAAATTTACTTAGAAAATTCTTAACTAGTCGATACTTTTCGGAATTCGCGATATTTACTCAGTACTTTTGAAAAAGTATCGAGTTCTCGATACTACTCAGTACTCATGAAAAGTATCGATATTCTGTACTCGGTACTCGTATCGTTCTATCACTAATCGCATATGGAAAAGAGGGGGTGAGAAGATAAGGGACGAGTACACATGCGTCTGTACCGTCAAGTCGTTTCAACTTTCTTGCTTTCCTTTTGACATTTTCGTTGTTTCCCATTTAAAGAACCAAAAATTTGAATTCAATGGAATTGAAGCGTGTAAAAGCAAATAGAAAACACAAAAGAAAATAGGTAAGAATTACTTTCAAGTACTTGGATCATGTAAATCGGGTGTAACTAGTGAAAATAATAGTCGTGTTTCCGTGGGTTATCCAGTTCAGTATCGGCATAATTTTTCATATATAGCAGTTTTACTAACACGAGGTAGAAGATATTATAAAAACTGACTCACTAAATTGAAGAAGAAATACATTTTAACGAAACATTAATTTAACCCGTAATGGTGCCGGTCCAGTGGACCCCGACCAACTTTCCGGCTGTATATTTTGTACCGAAACTATTTAAAATCGAGTTTGTGACTTCACTTGTTATTACTACAGTCTAATAGCCCATTTCCACCAAGAATTTAACTACAGTTAAGAGCTCAGGTAAGTGCAAATAACTTTAACATTCAGTGATCAGCAAAGTTGATGTCTTACTTTTTGCTTTCGATTGCTTGCATTTAAAGTCAAAAATGACCCTCTTGTAATCTCCTTTTTTCCAATTGACGTAAACTGCAGTTAAGGCTTACTGGAAATAAACTATAATTCATTAATTTCAGTGTAGCGTCAGTAGGTTATTATTGTCTAAGGTCTAATGGACCCCGTGGCCATAGAGTGGCGAAATCGAAAATTAGATTTTAGTATATTTTCGTTCATTCCTATACCTCTGACAAAGAATTGTATGTGCAATACTTCAACTTCAACTAGCTTAATGGAAAACCAATAATAGATAGTTGATGTTTTTTCCAAAGGATATTAACAGTTTTATATTTTAAAACAAGATAATTTAATTGTACCATTATGTTAAAATTTTCATATCATTAAATTATTTGATGTGCAAAGAAACAAGCTGTAGGTTATTAAAAAAAAGAGTTTCAAAGATAATTTTATCTGCCAGTTTTAGAATGTATTTCTATTGCACAATTTAATTTGTTTAACGCGATTTTTTTACCGAATTTTTTTGGTAAAATTTTGATTATTTCTTCCTACTTGTAATGTTTCTTATAGATTCCTGTACAGCAATTGTTGGAATATTATAAAAAGGTTTCAATGCAGATCGTTAGACAAGAGATTTACCATTATCCCATTTATATTTCATAGTACTGGTTTTTAAATTTATTTGTTTTATTCGCGTTGGAAGTGACTGGTTAAAAAAGAATATTAAACAAATTCGTAGAAAACCCGACATTTTCGAAATTAAAAATTAAAAGTTAAATTAAAGATGCCAAAAACTTCTTATTTTTCCCATAAATCAATGAATGGGTTCCTTCTGCTTAAATTAAAGGAATCATCATTAAAAAAAACACCATTTCGCGCCAGCTTAAGAATAAGTCTCATTAACTAAGTTAGAAAAAAATCTGCTTAACAGAAGAAGAGCGCGCGAGGGAATTAGAACAAAATTATCCACAGCTCAGGGAATGCGGGTTATGGCAAGACTTAAACCTTATGGAATTATAATTTACAAAAATTAGTTAGATTAACTGAATTTAATAACAAAAACCGCACTGGCTTACTTTACCCCAGTTTTCACACAATGTGGTGTTTTATAATAATCGACAAGTCTGGCATATCCAAGCCAATGCTTGAAAAAGCTTATTTTGCATATATCTGGAAATTTGGTTGGAATTTTGTATATATTCGACGTGCCTGTTCAGTTTTTGCATTTTTGTCAACATTTCATACATTTTCGCGGAAAAAGGGATTGTACAAATGCGTGAAATAAGGCGAATGGTTTTATACGTCTGCTACCACCTCGTATGAATACGCCTTGATACATACATACATACATATATACTAGGGTGGGTCAATTAGTAGGTCAATTAAAAAAGTTGATTCATATCCTTGCGATTCTGGTACTATGGACCATAACAAACATTTTCGCCCAAGGAACCATACCTCTAAAATCATTTTCGAGCCTGCCAAAATTTTTTGGTAGATATTTTCAAAAATACCAAATAAACGACCTCTTAGATGCATTTCAAAGACAAAAAAATATTATTGAAAATGTGTATACGGGGGTTTTTTGGGTCAGAGAATCCATTTTTCGCATTAATTTTTAATTTTGATCGCAAAAAAATAAAAAAAAATAAAAAAAATAAAAAATTAAAAAATAAAGCAAAATAAAGAAATAAATATTTTCCATTATTTTAAATTATTAGAAAGTCAAAGATGTGACTATTTGAGCAATAAGTTCGTCAATT